GCTGGCCCTGAGAATGGGCTTTAGAGTTGGAAACACGTGGAGTGGCAAATGAGAAGGTGGGGCATGTTGTGTCGTTATATTCCATGTTTGGTTTGTTAAAAATCAGATTTATAATAAAATTTGATAAAAGTTAATGAAAAATGTGATTAAAAAATTAATAAAATTTTTTGATCCCATGAAATTTGTGGTTAAAATTAATTATTGATTTTTTAATTAAACTTTCTAGTTATATCAAACAAGGGCATAGTAGGGAATAGACTGTTAAGGACTCAAATGCTATAATACTGGAAGGTAAATGACCTAATTGCACAACTTAGCAAAGAGTGAGACCCAAAATGGAATTTTCCTTAATTATATTTCCAAAAGTTCCGCAATGTAGAAAATAGTAGGGGAGTACCAGTCTTTGTTCTTCGAACATCTCGAATCCTCTTCTTCCACCTAAAAATGGCGTCGATCCCATTTGGATCTCCTTTTACAGAACCCTAGATTTAGATTTCCTGTTCTTCGTTCTTCCCTCTTTGTATATCTACACTTACATTCGGATATACTTACACGAAGATGTATATGGCATATGGATGGCCGCAGGTGATTCCATTGGAATTACCGAGTTTCCCCTCCACACAGCAGATCGTCTACCTCAAGGTCGCCAATCGCTTGGTCCTTGTCGTCTCTCCTTCTCACATCGAGCTCTGGTCCTCCTCTCAGGTCACACAAGTGTATGTACATATGTATTTTACGTACATTCCGGTTTGATTGTGATTGATTGTGTATATGCGTAATTTGTGGAATTGCAGCATAGATTGAGATTAGGGAAGTATAAGAGAGACGCAGCTTCGATTCGGATACAAGGGGAGAATTTGCAGGCGGTTTGGAGCCCCGACTCTAAGCTGATTGCCGTTCTTGTAAGTGTTGCATTACCGGTGTACTGATTTTATCTGAACTTCAGGGATAAACCAAGTCATCGTATAGGGCACTTTAGATGAATTTCCTGGTGATTTTGTTTATAATTTGATCAAATTTGGGATATTTTGAGTCGCTGTATCCCCATTTGTTAAATTGGTGCCAAGTGTAACTCAATCTATCACTCTTGAAGGAAAATCATTTTTTTGAACTACGATCTTTATTCGACCTTCTACTTAGTTTATGTAATAGATCTTCTGTTGTGTTCCACAGAACCCTGTTACTTACACTCGTTGCTTTTTGGCAGACATCTTCATTTTTTCTACACATATTTAAGGTTCAATTTACGGAAAAGAGGATACAAATTGGCGGGAAGCAGCCAACTGGTTTGTCTCTGATAAATATTTCTTTACTTCTCAGTGAGCAAGTTCCCTTTGCAGATAACAACTTGACTGCGTAAGTGCCTTTCTTCTTACATTACAGAGGATTTTCAAAATTTTAATGTGTAGCTTTGAACTTCATTTCTTACACAATGGTATAGCTAGTGATGGACCAGCAATTTTAATGAAAGATCTGAGTTCCATACAAGTTTCTCTAAACGTAAGGAATGCCATTTCTAGATCAAACCAATGAGAAATCAATCATATCTTGTCAGAGATAAAGAGAGAGAGCAGTAGAACATGCGGTAAAAGAAATGACATTAATTTGCAGAGATTTGGTTGAATGTTCGTAGAACCAATACAGCTTGTGATGGTTGATAATCGGGCAACACATTGTGACTTTAGCAAGACTGAAAAATTCAGGTCTCTGTTTGTCCTCTTCTGTTGCGTGGCATTTTGTTGTCTGAACCATTCCTTAAAAATGGTCATTTCTTTAATTGTTCTAAAACTAAATGGTAAATGGGTCAGCACTTAATTCAGAGACTGCATGTGCTAGCCATCTGGTTTTAGAAAATTCTGTGAGATTTTTAGAGCTGAATATACAGCTTGAGGTTAGAGCTATCCTGTTAAAATTGTGGAACACTGCTGAAATCCATAGTAACAAAACTCAGAAAGCATTCCGAAGAAATCTGACGGAAAAAATTAGTCGGACAATAAAGTTAGTTTCTTATAATAAACTTTAATGGAAATGCTGTTCAAGGATGACAAATAAATCGAAAAGGGGGTTTGCGTTGTGGTGGCGGGTGGGCAAGAAATGGTTAATGGTGATTACAAGAAAAAGAGCACCAACAGTATTTTTTGCTT